GGCTTAGCCTCTCTGCTCCTATGATGCTGCTTGGCCTGCTGTGTTCATCCAGCCCTGCACCTTGTTGTCTCGGATTCTCCAGCATCTGCAGTTCCTACTATCTCAGGTTCAGAGTGTACATTGGTAAAAGGATTGTCCGCAAAGAACTTCTCCAAATACATGGCCAATTACTTTTGTACTAGGGTTAAATCCATAAGAAGTTTCAGATTTTGTGACATTATGATGACGCAAATATATTTACTACTTAAGGTGCTCACTGCTTCGAAAGAAAAATGTTACTTGATTTTCAAAACATAACTGAGCAAATTGAAAATGTTCTGAAAACGATATAAAATAGCCTCAAGTGGCTAGAATCAGACGAAACACTGACAGAATGAACTGTAATACATATGGGGCATTTTTATATGCAGTGTTATAACTAGGCTTATTTAGCATAGAGAGACTAGTATGCCACAGAAAAAGGCATGTCATTCTCTATCCCAATTTACTAAACTCCTTTTCTGGTTTTAAAAAAGGATAATGCTGTCGTTCAAAGCTCTTTTTATTTCTCTTCTAAGACTTGTTCATGGAATTGCTCATTCTTAACTTGAGAGGATTCATGATGGGTGTCAAAAACTATTTCGCCAAGGTAAAAATTGCAGTAAATGCAGTTCTATTCTCACCTAAGGCTCACACAAGCTGATGTCCCTCTCCTCTGCCCACTGAAGCCAACTGTAATATCTGAATTATCACCAGCTGTCACTGCACAGGTTAGAGAATCAGACAGTACAGTAGGATGTTAGTTGCACAATTTCCTCCCCAGTAACTGTCAAATCTATATCCACCTGTGATAGAGTGTTACACAGCAACAGATCTATGTGCATCAGTAATACTCCAGTGTAACAGTGACAGACCTATACCCACCACTCAATTGCGGCATACCCACCACTCAATTGCGGCATACCCACTTCATGTTTGGTTGAGATCAATGTGCACAACACTAACTGGGAATCATAAACATCCTTAAGTCTAAGGGGCTAGCAATATGCCAGGAGCTGCCTTTCCCCATTAGGTCATTAAGAGGATCCTTTGGTTTGTAAATAATTGAGAACACATGTAAGTTTCTAATGTATGCATGATCATCATTTTCCTTTACATCCCACGTTTCCATTCTGAGCAAAGTACTAGGTGTAGACTTGGCAGCTTATTCATTGGGATCTCTGTGTTAAGCTTCAAATCATCAACTACACTCTCCACTTTTCCTTTTACCTGAGTTGGAGCAGTTTCAAGGGAGTTCTTCGCAACATTCTCCATACCAATCCCCCTCACAGGATGGTGTAAAGATCACAGGACTTCTGCAAAAGAAGAATTGATCAATACTGATTTATCTCTTCCATTAAATCAATGAAACTCATACAAACTTCATTTTCACAATGAAGAGCTTAATGATAGACACTTGTTCCCGCACTTTCAGTTACAGATTAAAGTCAAACTGAACTTCCCTATACACTGGAAATATGACTGAAAGAAACACTCGTCATTAAAAAAAAAACGTTCTGAAGATGGAGCTTTCTCTTCTGATAAAAGAAAAATCAAAATCTTGGAAGCATTATAACTTTTATTCAGAGTACTCCTAATTTTTTGTCCGCAACTGGGCCATCTACATCTCATATTCTCTTCCCAGCATCCTTGAAGTCTCTTAGAGAACAAAGTTCCAATGACACACAGTTTTTCTGTGAACTCTACGCAAATATCAAGATTATTTTTAAATGTAAAGTGCTCAGAGCCTGCAACTGATATTTTGCTTCCAGCTTTACCAATAAAACGATTCACGAGCAGAGTAACATTCTGACTTTTAATCAAATTCCCTTGAGATGTGCAAGATCAGTCTCTCTCATAATAGCTTTACTTTCAGCAAATTCTCTACAATCATAATCATTCACTTTCTGACTTTGCTAATGGATCATCCTTTTACAGACTACTTATTTTAAATTTCCCACTGAAACATGCACAGCCTTATATTTCATGCACACACCATCAGTGGGTGATTTTATTCATTCTACCCTCTCTACTTATAAAGGTACCAGGGTGAATGAGTTGAAGGTGCACTGTTAATAGTGACAGCCTGCATCACAGCAACTCACATTACTGTCATCACCAGTCTGCCTTTCATCTTGGTAAGCTACAGCATAAGTGATGCAAAAAATCCAAGGAAGGCAGGCAGAAAACGTAAGGCTCTAATTTTGTCACCAGCACTTATCAAAACATGCTGGCCTTGCTCTTGTACATTGACAAAGTTCTCTTTCCAGAACAGGCTTCCAGGACTTTTGTACCAGATTCAATTTTTATTCTGACAAAGGGTCACTGGACTCAATATATTAACTCTTTTTCTCTCTCACAGATGCCACCACACCCGCTGAATTTCTCCAGCAATTTCTGCTTTTGTTTCAGTTTCTGGTGCCGAGTTTAGCTTCAGCCTCAAACAGCTCTTTGAGATTTACAGGGATAATCGTATCATTGCCCATTACTGATTTTAAACACACGCTCAGGGGAACTCAAAACAGATTCCTGGTACCTATCTCCAGCGTTTCTGATTTGGCAGGGACTAGTCCACTACAAGGCAAAGGAAGGGTAATCAGAAACAGCTGATCAAAAACTTTGCCAAATATAGGTTTTAAAAAGGAGGTTCTGATGAGTTTTAGGAGAAAATTCCACAAAATAGACCTCAACAGCTCAAGTGAACGAACAGTGGTGTAAAAGCAGGGGATGTATAAACGGCCTCTTGCCAGTGCAACGGATTGTTTGCAGGGTGGAGTCATGAAGGATTTTAGAATGTAGGAAGGATTCATAAAAGGGGGGTGGGGGATGAACTTTTTTTTGTCTGCAACCTCTCCAAAGCATTAGATTAATGTAGGTCAGAGAGCAGCAGAGGTAGTTGAAATGAGTATGGGCTCCTGCATGTCAGAAAAGATGCAGCTCATTCACTATGTTGTCATAAACGTGACAAAACTTTAATGACAGGGTGGCCAGTTTTTTTGGAAATGCAATGCAGCAATGGTCAGCAGCATCAGCAGAAGAGGGGAAAAGTTAGCTGAGGTAACCAAGCAGGAAAGAAAGGAAGCATCGAAGACAAAAAAAAAACGAAATAGTAATTTAAGATAGGAGGGAGTGATAGCCTAGTGGCATTACCACTGGACTCATTCCAGAGACTTAGTAACGTTCCGGGGACCTGGAATCCCATCAGGGCGTACGGTGGAATTTGAATTTAATAAAAATCTGGAATTAGAGTCTAAAGGTGACCATGAATCCATTGTTGACTGTCCAAAAAACCCATCTAGTTCACTAATGTCCCGAAGGGAAGGAAACTCTCATCTTTACATGGTCTGACCTGCATGTGTCTCCAGACCCACAATGTGGTTGAACCTCAACTGCCCTCTGTGTAATTAGGGATGGGCAATAAATGCTGACCTAGCCCTCATCCAATGAATAAAAAAAAATTAGAAATAAAGTGTTCAAAGTGTCTGCGACATCGATCTCAGTACTGATTATAGAACTTAAATTTCTGCTTTTTATTTCAAATAATAAGCATTCATTTTCATTTTTACCTTTGCTACACTAATACTTGATAATTTGACCTCTTTCAAAGCAAACATATTCTTGTAAGCAATCCAACTTGTATCAAGGGTCAGTGCTGTCAATGCTTTTCAGCAGCTGGTCAATATTGCAAGTCCGATGTGCTCAGTTATTGAGTATTTTGAAATGACTAATGTTGAATCACTCTCTATGTGCAGTCTGGCCTGTGCGCAGTCACATAACATATCAGAAACAAAATAAAACTCTGCTCCAGAAAAATCCAACCTTGCCGCTAATGACTAAAACATAACACCGTGAGAGAATGCAGTGTTAGAAATATAATCCGAAAAGGGAAAAAAAACAAATGCAGGAAGACAGACATGCAGAGGAGGAGCACAGAGATAGAGTGCCAGATGGGAAGAAAGGGGGCCAGAGAAAAGTAGATGGGAAACAGGCCAGCAAGGTAAGGATAGGTGGAGACAAGAGGACTTGTCAAAGTGCAGGATAAATGTCTCCACTTCGCTGGCTATAAGAATACAAAATCAGTTCAAGCACTTTTAACCCAGCCACTAGTGATACTTGGCTTAGAAAATGAAACATTAACTAATGACACTACACTGGGTACATATTCCACTAACTCTGGCTTAAGCATCCCCAATTTTAATCACCCACAATGGGGGCTGTGCCATCAGATTCCTAGGCTCCGAGGTCTGGAATTCACTGCATTTATGTTACTTTTCTCTTTTGAGGCACTCCTCCAAACTTACAGTCTTTGACCAAGCTTTTGGTCACCTGACCCAATATTCCTTCTCTAGCTTAGTGGCATACTTTGTTTTACAATACACTATGAAGCACATTGGGCCCTTTGGTTACATTAAAGGAGCATGTAAATGCAACAGGCTGTTGATGGCAATCACAAGCAGAGGTCCAGACAACAGCTGATACAGGAAACGGAACTAGTTAATTTGGCACATTCTTGTAAAGCTAATGAGGTGCAATGTAAAATGCTCATGGGACTGTCCATTAGGAATACAATGTCAAATAGCCTACCCACAGCAAGCTTCCACAAGCTGCAATTTAACATACAAATATACAAAATCAGTAGGCCATTCAGCCTCTTGGTTCTGCTCCACAATAAGATCATGGCTGATCTTACTGTAACCTCAAATCCCCGTGTCATCCAACCTGACAACCTAGCTCAGTCTGTTCAATCTTTTCTCACAAGGCAACCTGCCCATTTTAGGTATTGGACTCGTAACCCTTCTCTGAACTGTCTCCAATGCATTTACATCCTTCCTTAAATACAGTAACCAACACTGTACACTGTACTCTAGATGCAGCTCACCAGTACCCTGAATAATTGAATCATAACTTCCCTACTTTTGTATTCAATTTCCATCAAAATAAGTCATAAAGATCTATTAGGTTTCCTAATTACTTCCTCCTGCACCTGCACACTAACCTTTCCTAAGTCTTGGAAAAAGACACCAAGTTCCCTCTGTATCTTAGAACTCTACAATCTCTCACCATGTAGAAACATGCTTTTCTATTCTCCCTACAATTGGGAGACAGTTTCACATTTTCCTGTTTTCCCCACATTATACTCCATTTGCCACATCTTTACTTACTTAACCTATATCTTTTTAAAAGCCTCTCACCTGGTCACCCTTTAGCCTCCAATGCTCCAGTCTTTTCATCCAAGTCACTTACATAAATTGTAGACTTTGAAGCCCCAGCATGATCTCTTGGCACACCATTCATTACATTTTGCCAGATTGAAAAGACCCACGTACACTTACCCTCGGCTTCCTGTCAGTCAGCCAATTTGCTAATCATGCCAGTGTGTTGCCCACCACACCACGGGCTTTCATATTTCACAATAACCTTTGATGTGCCTCTTATCATTCGCCAATTGTACTATAAATAGATTTCCATTGACAATTTACTCTGATCCACATCATGTATCACCACCTCATATCTCCAATAGATTGATCAAACATGATTTCCCTTTCACAAAATTATGTTGACTCTGTCTGATTATTTGTAAACTTATCTAGTGCTCTGCTACAACTTCTTGAATAATAGCTAACATTCTCCTTATCATAGATTTTAAGCTAACTGGCCTGTAATTTTCTACTGTCAGCCTCCCTTTTTGAAAATACGATTTACATTCACTATCTAATATCAATGCATCAACTATCTTACTAGCCACTTATTTTAAGAACCTAGGATGAAGTCCACGAAGACACGGGCAATTTGACAACCTGCAGCTCCAACAATTTAGTCGGTAGATCTTCTCTGATGATTGTGACTCTCCCACTCCCCTCCAATAATTTACTGTTTGTTCTGGGGTATTATTCTTATTCTCTACAGTAGAGACTGGTGCAAAATAGCTGTTTAATTCATCTGACATTTCCTCATTTTTCATTATTAATTCTCAAGTTTGACTTTCTTTATGACAAAAGCTGACACTGTTAACTCACAGAACAGTACAACACAGGAACGGGCCCTTGGACCCACGATGTTGTGCCAAACATGATGCCAAATTAAATTAATCCCTTCTGCCTGCCTTTGGTCCATATCCCTGCATTCCTATTTCTTCGTTAAATATCTACCTATCTGCTTTTAACATTTCAGGCTAGCCATCTCTTGCAATGCAATATTTTTCTTTTTACGCTTTTTAAAAATACTCCTACTACCTGTCATTGCACAATGTTATGCTTTTTCTTTAAGTTTGATACTATCTTTAATCTTTCTAGTTAACCATGAATATCAAGTGTAC